GTGAGCTGTGGATGGAAGTGCAGATCTGAAATACAGATGGTGCAGAGGTGAGTGAGCTGTGGATGGGGGGGGGGGGCAGAGGTGAGCTGTGGATGGAAGTGCAGATCTAAAATACAGATGGTGCAGAGGTGAGCTGTGGATGGGGGGGGGCAGAGGTGAGCTGTGGATGAAGGTGCGAAGTTGGGTTGTGGATGGTGGGACTGCAGAGGTAAGCTGTGAATGGAGGTGCAGAGGTGAACCGTAGATGGGGGCACAAAGGTAAGCTGAGAATGGAGGTGCAAAGTTGAACTACGAATGGTGCAGAGGTGAGCTGTGGATGGATGGGGGGGGGGGCAGAGGTGAGCTGTGGATGGAAGTGCAGATCTGAAATACAGATGGTGCAGAGGTGAGCTGTGGATAGGGGGGCAGAGGTGAGCTGTGGATGAAGGTGCGAAGTTGGGCTGTGGATGGTGGGACTGCAGAGGTAAGCTGTGAATGGAGGTGCAGAGGTGAACCGTAGATGGGGGCACAAAGGTAAGCTGAGAATGGAGGTGCAAAGTTGAACTACGAATGGTGCAGAGGTGAGCTGTGGATGGGGGGGGGGGGGGGCAGAGGCGAGCTGTGGATGGAAGTGCAGATCTGAAATACAGATGGTGCAGAGGTGAGCTGTGGATGGGGGGGGCAGAGGTGAGCTGTGGATGAAGGTGCGAAGTTGGGTTGTGGATGGTGGGACTGCAGAGGTAAGCTGTGAATGGAGGTGCAGAGGTGAACCGTAGATGGGGGCACAAAGGTAAGCTGAGAATGGAGGTGCAAAGTTGAACTACGAATGGTGCAGAGGTGAGCTGTGGATGGGGGGGGGGGCAGAGGTGAGCTGTGGATGGAAGTGCAGATGTGAAATACAGATGGTGCAGAGGTGAGCTGTGGATAGGGGGGCAGAGGTGAGCTGTGGATGAAGGTGCGAAGTTGGGCTGTGGATGGTGGGACTGCAGAGGTAAGCTGTGAATGGAGGTGCAGAGGTGAACCGTAGATGGGGGCACAAAGGTAAGCTGAGAATGGAGGTGCAAAGTTGAACTACGAATGGTGCAGAGGTGAGCTGTGGATGGGGGGGGGGGGGGGCAGAGGCGAGCTGTGGATGGAAGTGCAGATCTGAAATACAGATGGTGCAGAGGTGAGCTGTGGATGGGGGTGCAGAAGTGAGCTGCGGATGGGGGGGTGTAGAGATGAACTGTGTATGGGGGTGCAAAGGCAAACTGTGCATGCTGATGCAGAGGTGAAAATGTGGATGGGGTCGCAGAGTTTAACTATGGATGGTGCAGAGGTGAGCTGTGGATGGGTGGGGTGATCAGGGTTAAACTTGGGACACTGAAAGCGGATCTTAGAAAAGGGTGAAACTTGGGACACAGAAAGCAGATCTTACAAAAGGGTGAAACTTGGGACACAGAAAGAAGATCATAGATCAGGGTGAAACTTGGGACACAGAAAGCGGATCTTAGAAAAGGGTGAAACTTGGAACACAGAAAGCAGATCTTAGAAAAGGGTGAAACTTGGGACACAGAAAGCGGATCTTAGAAAAGGGTGAAACTTGGAACACAGAAAGCGGATCTTAGATCAGGGTGAAACTTGGGATACAGAAAGCGGATCTTAGAAAAGGGTGAAACTTGGGACACAGAAAGCGGATCTTACAAAACGGTGAAACTTGGGACACAGAAAGCGGATCTTAGATCAGGGTGAAACTTGGGACACAGAAAGCGGATCTTAGATCAGGGTGAAACTTGGGACACAGAAAGCGGATCTTAGAAAAGGGTGAAACTTGGGACACAGAAAGCGATCTTAGATTGGGTGAAACTTGGGACACAGAAAGCGATCTTAGATCAGGGTGAAACTTGGGACACAGAAAACTGATGTTAGATCAGAGTGATGCTTGAGCAAATGATATGATTACACTGTTCAACAGGTAAAACGTTTTGGGCATAAAATTAGCTAATCTTACATAATTTTGGGGTGCTGAAAACGAAAATGACCCTAAAAAATGTTGATTGGCTCTAGTTTCCATGATATATTCACCCATCGACGTTTTTAATGACGTAAGCCATTCAAAATTATGATGCAACTTCAGCTGCATATTGCGCAATTGATACTGGTGACCAATAGAAAATTGCATGTATACTGAGATGATGCAATATTAGCCTTTAATTGCATCACTTCACTGCATAAAAGCTGCAGTATCTGTAGCTGATTGTAGTTTGACAGCGTCTTTACATTTCGTTTTATGCTTATATAGGCTACTCAGTAATGCCTCGAACTTGTGTGAATAAAGCAGATAATTTCTGCTATATCTGCGGTGAAATAACTTTTATCTCACAAAAAAAGGAGGATAACAGGAATGATTAAGAAAGCCTACAACTTGTATTTTGGCTGCAAGATAGGAGACCAGGACAAGAGCTGGGCACCACATATATGCTGCAATTCTTGTGGGACGGCACTGGAGCAATGGTTGAATGGAAAAAAGGCATCTATGCCTTTCGCTGTGCCAATGATTTGGAGAGAGCAACAGATCATGTTAGTAATTGTTACTTTTGTATGGTGCCTCCAATTGTAAAAGGGCTAAATAAGAAGAAAAAGTTATCTGTGCACTATCCAAATATTCCATCAGCAATACGTCCAGTTCCTCATGGAGAGGGGCTACCAATTCCTAAAGCACCAGAATCCTTCGTGGTTGAGTCAAGTGAGGAAGAACCTGAAGCGTGTAGTCATCAACCGTCAACCTCACATGACCCAGACTTTCTTCCATCCACACCCACTGAACCACACCTCATCACACAAGTGGAATTGAGCGATCTTATCAGAGACCTGGATCTTCCCAAGAACAAGGCAGAGCTTTTGGGGTCAAGACTACAACAGTGGAATCTCCTAGCAAGTGATGTTCGTATGGTGGATATACTAAGTACTGCTGCTTCCTCTGTGAGTGGGACAGTCGTGCGAGAGAAATGCACTATGCCAAAAGAGACTGGCCATTACGCCAGTCATTGCAGCCTGGAGAAAAAAATGTTAACTATCCAGCACTTGTAGACAGCAATAAGATCTTATTACCTCCATTACACATCAAGTTGGGATTAATGAAAAACTTTGTTAAGGCAATGGACAAGAATAAAGCAGGTTTCAAGTACCTGATTAGCAAATTTCCAGCACTTAGTGCTGCAAAAATAAATGAAGGAGTCTTTGTTGGGCCACAGATTCGTAAACTTATTCATGATGATGAGTTTCTTTCTCTGTTGCGTGGAAAGGAAAAGGCTGCCTGGACAGCATTTGTATCAGTGACATCAAATTTTCTTGGAAACAATAAAACACCAGACTACAAGAAAGTGGTAGAAAAACTCATCCAGACTTACAGAAATCTGGGTTGCAACATGTCTCTAAAAATTCATTTTCTACATTCGCATCTGGATTTTTTCCCACCAAACTGTGGAGCAGTGAGTGATGAACACGGAGAGCGCTTCCATCAAGACATTGCAGCTATGGAAAGAAGATATCAAGGTAAATGGAGCCCATCAATGCTTGCTGACTATTGCTGGACAGTTGTAAGAGATAGCCCTTTCCTCGAATACAAGAGAAAAGCCAAGAGAAGCAAAACCGACACAAACTGAAGACAAAACTAGTGAGAATCCTAAGTATTAAAATGATTCAACTTAGCTTATGGCTATAATTTTTCTTGGTAATCCTATGCAATATATTATGCCATTTAGGCTTTGTTATGTAGTCAATATCACTTGCTTTATATTTGTGGAAAGACATCTATCTATATAATTATTGTGCATTATGTAGTCATTACGCCTATAGTAGAAAACTTTCCGTTTACAGAAAAACTAGAGCCAATTGACAAATTTCATTGTTATATTTGAACTCAGAATGTGAAATTCATTAAGAAATGGATCCTTTTGTTTCCAAAACTGGCAAAAAAATAAAAATTTGTTGAACAGTGTTGTAGATCAGAGGGAGGCTTGGAACAAAGGAAATGCTCATAGATCAAAGCAAGGATTGCAATACAGGCAACTGATCTTAAATCAGAGTGAAGCTTGAGCACAGGAAATGCTTATACATCAGAGTGAAGCTTGGATTACAGAAAATACTTATAGATCAGAGTGAGGCTTGGAATACAGGAAATACTTATAGATCAGAGTGAGGCTTCGATTACAGGAAATACTTATAGATCAGAGTGAAGCTTGGAATGCAGAAAATGATCAGAGTGAGGCTTGAAATGCAGAAAATGCTCACAGATCAGAGTGAGGCTTGGAACACAGGACATGATCATAGATCAGACTGAGACTTGGAATACAGGAAATGATCATAGGTCAGATTGAGGCTTGGAACACAGGAATTGATCATAGGTCAGAGTGAGGCTTGGAACACAGGAACTGATTATAGGTCAGACTGAGACTTGGAATACAGGACATGATCATAGATCAGATTGAGGCTTGGCACACAGGAACTGATCATAGGTCAGAGTGAGGCTTGGAATGCAATGAACTGCCGTTTAGCTCAGGCTAGGCACATAGGAACCTGATCTGAGAGTGAGGCTTGGATTTTGAACACAGGCTATTAGGAGGGAGAAGGAAGAAAAGGTGGAAGTAGCAGACTAGTGGTGATAGAAGTCCACTAGATTAGGTAATGTAAAGACTGGCATTTGTAATAATGATATCTAAGCATTCACATTAAACTGAGATTGCTGTGGTGGGAGGAATGGGAATGACTGCAGGGCACTTAGAATAATTACCTACGGTTTTAGTAATGAATGAGAGCAGTGGTTGGCCCATTGGTGGCAATGATGAGCACACGGTTGCAGAGACTATGACAGCTGTGCACTATACCTGGAGATCATTGTTTTCCTGTATAATTGCTCCCCGGAGGAATTCATAGCTCACTCCTCAGAGAATCCTAGCACTTGTTTACCAGACAGTAAACGAAAGATCATTTTTATTCCTTAGCTTTATGTGGATGACAGATCGCAGAGCACCAGTGAAGACATGACTGGTGGGAAGAAAAGTTCCAAGGAAAAGAGGAGGAGGAGGAGGTCAAGTTCTCATGACACGAGTTCCCAGGTAGAGAGGAAGAGGAGGAATACGGAATCCAGTCACCAGGTATGAACCTTATACTTGCAAACATAGAGCTCAAGCACTTTGAAATCACAAATATACTACAATACAGATTATTCTGGATTTCTACATTCACTGTGATATCTGTATAGAAACCTTTCTGTTTATGTGTTGACATGCACAAGCTTTTACCTGTGTGTAAGGCGTACTGAAGTTAAACTGGCCTTTATACATGTAATGTGGATTTTGCGTCAGTCTCAATTTACTTAGCTCTGAAATGACTGTTCTTCATAGTTATTGTAATCAATATAGTTTAGTGTATTGAGTCTATTGGCTCTTGGTGCTAAAATATGGCTGTTATGGCAGATAGCTATTGCTGTAGTTTAGCGTAGCCTTTCTCAACCAGGCTGCCCAGACACACTGGGGTGCCTTGAGGTTTCTTCCGGGGTGCCTAGGCAAAATGTCTAAAACTTGCCCAAAATTTGTATACAAGCCAGCGGGTGGAACAAGCCTAACTTTTAGTTACATAAGGTCACAGGTTTTCATAGTGCACCATTACGACCTTCTAGCTGCCCGCATCCTGACAACCAATGACATCATCAGTTGATGAGGGAGGATGTCGGTCGCCTGCACAGCATCCTAGTTTGCCCCTCTCCATCAGTGCTGGGGTCACATTAGCTTAGTGATGGATAAAAACTGAGGGAGAAGAGAAACACTGGAATACTAGTCAGTACCAGTGTGCAAAAGTGGATTTGCTTTGGAAGAATAAGTCACCTCTAATGTTGGGTGTCCTACGTGTGTGGATGTTGCTGCGTTATATAAAACTATTAGAATAGTTTTCACATTTTAGAATAGGGTGCTCTTTTAAAATTATGTACAGTCTAGAGGCACCCCATTGCAGAATGAGGATCCTCAAGACTGTCCATAATTTTAAAGGGTGCCTTGGGACTGTCCATAATTTTAAAGGGTGCCTCGGGACTGTCCATCCCCCACCCCCCCCCCCCCCCCCCGCCCCCGGCCCACCACACTTTTTTTAAAGGGTGCCATGACTGAAAAGAGGTTGAGAAACGCAGGTTTAGTGAATTGAGCATAATGGATGAATGAAAAGTCCAACTCAGGGCAAAATCTATGATTTTCTCCATATCCACCCCCCCTTCTCCCAACCCATCCTGCTAGCTGCTTAATTTACCTTACCTGGTGAAGTCAGGTATACCGTGTATCCCATCCATTAACAGTATTCCAGAATTGTGTTTTATATAAGATTATCATTAAAATTGTTTTTTACATTGTTATACACTCCAGGTGACAAAGTACATGCATTTGCTAGGTGCTTCCCAAACAGAGTATGCAGAGAGAGAGGAGTGTGTCAGCCTCCTGTCTCCTCCGCATTCCTCTTGCCTTAGCTCCTTTCTGGAAAGTGTTCTAAGTCAAGACGAGCTGCAGCTTTGATGGATCTGTCTTCTTCTAAACTGCTGTTGGATTTAACGAGAGGGGTGGAGTGTAGCCTGGACTTCATAACTAGACTTATTAAGCTCCTAGCAACATGAGACAAAGTCCTTCATGTATTTTGTCCTATGTGGAAAGAACAATGTAAGAATATTTGTAACAATAGTTCTTCTTTAAGCTCCAAAGAAGAGGTAGCTGAATACACAATGGAAATAGATACAGTATAAAGAAACTGCTGATCTGAGTCAATCAGTGCCCCTGCCAGACACTGCAGATAAGATTTGACCTCTATGTAGGCCTTTCTATAGGAAAAGAAGTAAAGCGAAATCTAACTGATGAAACCCAGATGGCAAAAAAAAAAAAAAACAGACCGTGGATTTATCCATGCTCTACTGTATTCAAAATAAAATAAATATGACTTAAGGTATACTTTTTGAATAGCATGGAGAGGGATGTCAGGTGGCTGAAGTTTTTCATGTGCTATCCCTGCTTTTTGCAAAATCAATACTGCCAGACCCAACTGTAGCTTTCCTAAATTTGCGCCCTCCCTCCATTTTCAAATCCCAATTTAAACTCCTGAAAATCACCACTGCAGCTAAACAGATTATGGCCAAATCGTGGAAGTCGCCGTCTGTGTATGCTAGCAGTTCGGAATAAGGTTACACAAGCTATGATTCACGCAAAAGTTGAAGCCACCATTTTAGATCCTGTCCCTAAGTTTCTGTCGATCTGGACCCCATGGGTGGAACGCTTCCTCCCACTGAACTTTGATGACTCGTTGCCCCTCCCTTAACGTCCTCTATTCTCGCATCGTGATAGTCCTATGAGCCAAGCTATGGATTGACCTGGTCCCGAGATTGTCTGTTCTTTTCTGGAAGTCACAAGCCCTTTCTTTCTCTCCTCTAGTCTCTCTTTCAGTCTCTCCTAATTCTCCGCCCCCCCCCTTTTTTTTTTTTTTCTCTCTTCCTGCTCACTTTTGTCTCCCTTTCCTTGCCTCACATGGAACCCCCATATGGACATTGGGAACAGTGCTCCCTTTCAGTTGCATACTCAGGTCCTACCTTCCCTTGTACCATTGTATCCCTTTGTTTTTCTCTATGGTTCCTCATAACGCGATCTTTATGTGATAATCCTCCTTTCCCATAGGACACAGTGTTTTTCTGTATTCGTTAATGCCTGCATATCTTAATGGACTGACCTACACCTGTTTTTTTTTTTTTTTTTTAATGTCTCTGAAATTAATAAAAAGTTTGAGCAAGAACACCTGTCTATACGCCCATTCGGGAGAGTCACCCTCTCTATTTTTACTGTTTATCATTATCATTGAAAGTGAACATAAAAAAGTAAATCCCCAAATTTGTGTTGTCTCCAGAAAAAGAATGTTCTAATGGAGACACTAGTAGTGATGACCCTGGTGATAGCCAGGGGTTACCTCACTTTGGAGAGATTTCTTCTTGTTTGGCCATGGGAAAGGAAATGAATGGAAATCTCCCCAACAAAGTACAGATAGCAACAAAAACCCAAAACTGACAGGGGTTATAAGCCTCCTGTAAGCAAGTCATAGATTATGTGATTTTCTTTTCTGCAACCATAGGTTGCAGGACAGAAAATTGCTCGATTTCCCTCATTAGCACATTCAATGTTGATGGGGGAATCCCTCCCGCAGTGCTATTGTATTCTGCTAGTAGGGAGCCTTCACTGCTGGCAGAACACAATGATTATTGCTTGCAGCTATAACCAATGGATTGACTTCAGTATAACTAGCCTGCCCTTAGATGGATGGAATCTTGGCCGGTCCCTGCTGAACCGGCCCAGATTTGATCCATATGTGGCTGGCTTTAATATTTTACTTTAAGTGGCCTGATCACAGTATTATATTTCCCCAAAACATGGATTGCTCCTTTTAAGCATGAAGGTCAAAGCAGATTAACTCCAAAGTTCAGTCCTCCAGCAGGACACACTTAACTTTCCTTCCCATTGCCAGTCTATTTAGCTGGCTATAGTGAAGAAAGTACCCATTACTTCCTAATATGGAGGAGCATGTGACTCCGCACATTTGACAGCATTGCTGCTTGGTGTTTGGCCAGATCACACGGGGCACAGTCAGCTCTATGTAATCCCCAACTAAACCTACTTACACAGGGCTTTCTTTCCTCACTTCTTGAGGCTGGGCAAAGCAATGAGGGAGAGAAAAGAAAGGTAAGAGGGTAGCACAGTGGCTAAATGGTTATCACTTCCACCTGGCAGTACTGAGGTCGTTGGTTCGAATCCTAGCCATGGCACCACCTGCCTGGAGTTTACATGTTCTCCCTGTGCATGCGTGGGTTTCCTACGGGTGCTCCGGTTTCCTCCCACACTCCAAAGACATGCTGGTATGTTAATTGGATCTTGTCTAAATTGGCCCTAGTATGTTTATATATGAATGTAAAATTAGGAATGTTAGATTGTACGCCCCTTGAGGGTTAGGGACTGATGTGAATGTACTATATATATATATATATATATATAAGCGCTGTGTGAATTGACGGTGCTATATAAGTACCTGATGTGCCGATCACGACGTCAGACCCCAGCCCTTCTCACCAATCTAAAACCGCTCTGTCACGTGCGTAACAATGCCACGCCCAGCTGCACCCTGCACAAAGATTTTCCAGCTAATGGACCACAATCTATGTACCTGCAGCCTGAGAGCGATTGTTACTGGGTCAGGTTAATTACACAATTAACCCTTCACACTGCCACCACCTTCTTTTTATACAGAGAAAGCGGAAACTCGGCAATATCAGCAATAACACTATGATGTTTGAATAATCGTTTGTATACCACTGTCACCGCAGGCAGGGTATACAGAGGTTTAAACACACACAGTAGCGCTCTTCAGAGACCGGGGTTCTTAGTTTGCATTAAAGAGATTTTAGAAACAGTTCAGCACTTTCAGAAAGTAAGATTTATTACTAAAAGGTCAAAAGGGTGCAATATAAATATTTACAGAAAAAGATGTAGCATATATATATATATATATATATATATATATATATATATATATATATATATATATGAGAGCAATAACACAGCAAAGAGATAACAGAAGTTTAGAGAGATAAAGTACTTGCCAAAAGTCCTGGGTTAAGCAGCATTCAAGTGTCAGAGCAAAAGGGCCTCATCTCCCAAAGTTAGCTCCGATGTTAAAAGGGAGCTTCTTCAACTCAGCTTAGCGCCAAGCATAATAGCTTTTTTAGGAACTCAGAAGGGTGTCTCCTTGAAGCAGAGAACCAATCGCCTCATTTGGGGAGGGTGTTGGGGCGGAGACCCAAGCTAGAACCAAAATCCCTCTCAGTTTATATCATGGTCCATAACTTACCCTGGGGGCATGTAGCCGCCTAGCCACTAGTAGATTAATATGCAGAAGCTTCTGCTGAATGTCTAGATAGGAAATATGACATACCTGCTGAGACGGTTAAGGAGATATAATTTTCTGCTCGCCTGTAGATGTCAGCTAGGGGGTGTAATATATCAGGCGACATGTATTAAAGTGACAGATCTGAATATATGCCTGGTCTCCTTGTAAGGCTTCCATATTCCAAGATATGAAATCATACGGTAAATGGATTTTGAATGTGATGTCTGTTTTACGGCTTATCTGGAATGTCTTTGAAGCCCAGCAAAGGACTGGTTTATGGTTTTATGATCCTTTTCCAAGCAAGAGTCTCCCAGACATATGGGGGGGGGGGGGCAGGCTAATTGGGGTTTATAACCATGACGCCCTCCCAATGTGTTTGCTGCCTGTGATCTCTGCATCATACAGACCACATGTCACTCAACAGAGAGGGAGGGGGGATTTGAAGGAGAGAGAGAGATACAAGATGGAGGATCCTTAGCAAGATGGAGGACCATGTCCATCTTTGTATGCAGAATTGCTACACCTCAAATAAATAAGTATAAGCTGCTAGAGAAAGGTGTTATAAAATGAACCTGTTGATTAACTCTGTATGGATAGTGGTGTGAACAGTGGGTACAAATGTCGGACCTGTTTACCGTCTTTCTGTTGGAATTGGCCTCTGATTGTTACTATATTGATTTCAGGAACCAGAAACCTCTGCTCTACATTCTGCAGTGAAAGAAGAAGAAGAAGTAGAGGAGTTGAGTGATATAGAAGAAGGTGGACTGGATTTGAATGTGCCTCTTAAACCGATTAGCTTCTACATATCTGATAGAAAGGAGATGATGGAACATTGCTTCCGTGTTCTTGGTGATCGGAAACTTAAGAAAATGCTTCCTGATATGCTCAAGGTGAGAAGATAAATATTTCTTTTTTACTACCTTCAATAAGCAGGTGGAGTCAGATGACTGAAAGCTTTCTGCAGTTCTGTATTTCTATGCTATAAAGACAGTATTATTTGATCCCGTGTATCTAAACTCAAAAACTAAAAATAATATATTGTAGCTTACTACCCTTAGATGCAGTGGCTACAGTAGTTTTCTTTCTTTAACAATCTCTTGTGTTACTTTCACCTGGTAATCCTGAGAATAAAACACTTCCTGTCCCTTCATGTCTACATGTTTCCCCACTGTATCTGTGGGGGCAGCCATGGTTGTCACATAGGCTAGACTTCAAAGAAATCTGCCTTTGTTCCTGTCCCATGGTGGATAGATGGGAGAAATAGTTTACAGAATAAAGAGCAATTTTGGGTATGTATACAGTGTGCAGGGGGCAGCAGGACAGAGCACAGGGGAGAAGCATGGCAACATATAGGAGTCAGCAGGACAGAGTACATGGATTAAGCAGGGCACTTTTAGAAGGTTACCATATAGGGGGGCATCAGGGCACAATACATGGGGGCACAACAGGACACATTATTGAGGGGGGGAGGGGAATTGCACAGTAGGGCACATTATGTGGGGTTGGGCAGCAGGGTACATTATGGGGTACAGTAGGGAACATTACATGGGGGCAGCAGGGCACATTACGAGGGTGGTATCAGGGTACGTTATAGGACACAGCAGGGAACATTACATGGGGGAAGGAGGGCACATTATGGGCAAAGAGCACATTATGGGTGGGGGATTCAGCAGGGCACATGACAGAGGAAGGTTGGAGGGGCGCACAGCAGGGCACATTACAGGGGGGGCACAACATTGCACATTACGGGAAGGAGGGGGTGCAGCAGGGCACATCATGTGGCACAGCAGGGCACATTACATGGGGGCAGGAGGGCACATTATGGGCACAGAAGAGCACATTATGCGGGGCAGCAGGGCGCATTACAGGGGGTCAGCAAGGCACATGGGTTACAGCAGGACATAATAAATGGGGGCAAGAGATCACATTGTGGGGCACAGCAGGGCATATTACAGGGGGGTTGGAGGGCACATTACGGGGCACATCTTGGGCAACAGCAGGGCATATTAAATGGGGGTAGGAGGCCACATTATGGGATGGGCACAGCAGGGCATATTACAGGGCACACAGCAAGGCACATATCAGAACACAGGGCACACAGCAGGGCACATCATGGGGAACACAGGTACATCACAGGACACATGGTACACAGTAGGACACAGGGTACATTAAAAGGAAACATGGTACACAGCAGAACTCAGGGCACATGGTACACAGTAGGGCACACAGCAGGATACAGGGCAAACAGCAATAGCAGTCTCCTTCATATGGACAGGAATTAGACCTTCTAGTTGGGGAGAAGTACTTTTATGCAGCCTTTTGTGAAGCATGGTAAGGGATTCTGTCATTTTCAGGATGTATGTCCATGATAGCCTATGCTTAAAGGAAGTATACTAAATGAGGGTGTCATTCAGTCTAGAAGATTAGTGACATTCAGCAGTGGTAAGGGCGTACTGCAGGGGACATTGCATCTAAAGTTTTTGGGTTTTTTTTTTTTTTTTTTGTTTTGTTTTTTTCTTTTCAAATTTGCTTTAGTAGCCTACAATCCTTACACAGTATTGTATGTATTTTAATTTAATATTATAACCTTTTTGAATTTACATAAACATATTCATATTCAAATACCATAATAATAAAATAAAATAAAATTAAAATAAAAATCAAAACATCCAATAAAAAGTGTCCCAATAAACAAAAAATTGTCCCAATAAAAAATTGTCCCAATAAAAACAAAAAATAGTGAAAATAGTGTCCAAAAAAATGTCCCAATGTTCAAACTTTATCATCCAGTAGGAAGAAATCCTATTTCATCCCCGCGGTACCTCAAAAAAAAACAAATTTGAATAATCTAGTGCATTACCTTTATAAATAATATTTATAAATAATATATACACTCCGTGCAAAAACACAAAAACTGTGCAAAAACTGTATATATATCTCTTTCGTGCACAAAAAGATTAACTGTGATCACTCTGTGAGCACTGCAATACTGTGTATCCACCAACACCAATAGTATTTAGATACTATTACCCTCTGTAACAATATACCAGCATCCAATGAGATCTTCCAATTTGCTCCAAAGAAATTATTCCAAGGTCCTCAAAAGACAAGAAGGGTCTCAAGGCTCATATTCAAGGTATAGGTAAGAAATTTTAATAGCCACTTACATTAAAATATCATAAATCCAGCTCCCAACATGTTTCTTGTGTGAGTTCTATCAAACAAATGCGATAAGCCATGTGTTGACAACCCACAAAATGGCCGCGGCGACACTTCCGGTCTGCGTGCGTGCGTCACGACGTCACACCCTTTATAAGTATTTGAATGAAAGTATTTGAATATGAATATGTTTATGTAAATTCAAAAAGGTTATAATATTGTATTACTTTCTGGGGAGAAAGTGTGACTTTTTGAGATATTTTGGGGGTAGGTGGATATACACATATTTAAATGTATTTTAATTTGTTTTCAATTTTTGTGATACACTCCAAAAGTTTGGCAAAACTCAGAATTTTTTTCCCCTGAAACCTTGTTTTAACAGGATTTGCCTCTTGATGAAATAAAGCGGTTGTGCCTGGAGCAAGTGGAAATGGAAACTGATGACAATTTGCTCAGAATTCTGCAGGGTAAGCACAAAACAATTCTTGCATAACTATACTGTAGTTGTGTGTTTTCCTCCAAGTAGTAATAGCAGGGGTCTACACCTGTGCACTGGGGGTGTTTAGCTCCTGTGGTAGATCAGTTTGAACAGTGAGTCCACAGCAGACAGGAGCTATAGTTAGGGCCTGATATCCCACTTTTATTAAAAAGAAAGAAAAACAAAGTATGGCTGCCCACGCAAGGGTTTCAGCTTCACATAAAGCCGAGCCACCTAGTTCTTAAAGTGTTACTAAACCCACAACCGTAACATCAGTCTGTATATGCAGTAAAACATGCTTGGTATACTCACTGTGGAACCTAAGGGGTTAATCTTCTGCATTGTGTAAAAAGGCTGCTTGATCCTGTCTTCTCTGCTCCTTCTCTTCTTCAAATGTCCACGTCTTATCTCCTGATAAGACAGATTGAACCCACAGTCCTTCTGCACATGCTCAGTTTGGTGTGTGTTGCTAGAGAGGTTTTTTTTTTTCTTGGGAGAGTGCATGTGATCAGCACAGCACCAATCAGCACTGTCCAGACAGAGGTCAGGGGTCCTGCATCCTTCTAGAGAAGAAAGAGAAAACTCCTACAAGCTTTAACTAGTGCTCTGATAGAAGTCACAAGACTGCTCTAACTGCTGATGAGAAAACGTATTTAGCAGTTTATATTTACTAAAATAATTGCATTTCCATGTGTGTACTGTGGGAGACCAGATATAATGAATGCAGGGTCCTGGGTGTTAGTAACACTTTAAGCTCATTCAGCCTTTTTTTTTTTTTTTCTTTTTTAATCAAACAACTCTTTAATATAAGAAACGTTTGAAATTGGAGACAGTGTAATGAACACCATTACAGAGTATTACAAAAGAGAGTATTATTTCCATGTACAAAAAAACCAAAACAAGAATTATGACTATGAGCAATGACATTCTCCAGAAAAGCGGAGGAGTTGAAGATAACATAGCATGTAATGCCTATATCCATACACATCAAATATGCATTGTCATTTAGACAGTCCATAATAGTGACAAGTGATAGCTCTGGATTCATATCACTACAAGTTAGGTATATTAAATGAATAATGCAGCAGACACATAGATATGAGAGTTACAGGGCTACAAATTCGTCATCTAAGCATGTGGAGGCCTGATCTAGCCATCTGTCCCATATCTTATGATATTTAGCCGGGCAGTGTCTGTGAAGGTAAATTCCTTTCTTATATGGTAGCGTGAGGTAATGGCGGCCACCCATTCCTGAACTGTTGGTGGTGAAGCCCTGAACTATACCCTGGCAATCAACATTCTGGCCATGAAAAGTGTTTCTTTTAAAAAATTATGGAGATGTTTGTCACGGCTTGGATTGGGAAGAAGGCCCAGAAGGCACTGCTTCAGGCAGTTAGCGCGGAGCCCATTCGATCACGCAGAAATCGTACTACCGGTGTTCAGGAGCCTTGAATGACTGGGCATGACCACAGCAGATAGTACGAAAATAAAAAATGTGCAAAATACGTGCGCACAAGGTATCAGTGAATTAAAGTGTTTGTTCACCAATGTTGGAAGTCTGCCAAGTTGGAAGCTTTGTTGCATGATAAGAACTATGATTTAATTGCTATTGCTGAATCTTGGTTTCATTCTTCACATGACTGGGCCATTAATATTCCTGGCTATGTTCTCTTTCGGAGAGACAGCGTAAATAGGAAAGGTGGTGGTGTCTGTCTCTATGTGAGAAGTGATCTCAGATCGAGTGTGACAGAGGCCCTAGTTGATGGAGAGTGTGATGAGGCTGAAGCATTATAGGTGGAACTGCACATGGGGGTACATACTACACATGAAATCATTGGGGTTTGTTATAGACCTCCCAGTGTTCATGAGGAGGTGGAGACTTGACTCCTTGTAGAGATCAAAAGGGCTGCAAGGGCTGGTGAAAATAATGGGAAATTTTAACTACCCAAAACTTGACTGGAGTAATGGTACTGCAGGATCAGTTAAAGGGCAAACATTTATGTTACAGTTCATAGAGACCCCTACTAGAAATGATGCTCTGCTGGACCTGGTGATCTCAAATCATGCAGAGCCTATTACAAATGTCCATATAAAAGAACATCTGGGTAGCAGTGACCATAACATGATTTAATTTATTGTTAGCTGTAAACAGCAAGCACATACGGGAAAATAAAAATGCTCAATTTTAAGAGAGCTAATTTTTCAAGGCTGAGAGCTGCTTTCCAAGACTTAGACTGGGAGGGAATATTGGCATCAATGAACACAACACAGAAATGGGAGTTCTTCAAAAAGACTGTATGTGAACACACTGCAAAAAATATTCCCCTGGGCAACAAGTTTAAAAGGCTAAAAATCAAACCTATGTGGCTTACGGCCAAAGATAAAAAAGCTATAGATAATAAGAAAAGAGCTTTTATTAAATATAAAAATGAAGGAATGCTATAATTGTTTACAAAGAATATAACAGAATATGCAAAAAGGAAATAAAGGCTGCAAAATTTAAACCAAACGACAGATTGTACAAGATAGCAGGACCAACCTGCTAATTCTTCAAATATATTAATAGTAAAAAGGTTCGGTCCGAGCATGTAGGCCCTTTACAAAATAATCTAGAGTGGGTGACTGGGGACAAAGAGAAGGCAAATTTATTAAATGCCTTCTTCAGCTCTGTGTATACAAAGGAGCATGGGGGAGCTCTTGTCCATAATGGGCATGGTATTGACACAGCTCCAGGAGATCCACATTGGCTCACAGTTGATATGACCCAAAAATATTTAGACAGAATAAAGGTGAATAAAGCAACTGGACTGGATGGCATACACCCATGGGTCCTTAAAGAATTGATCTGTCATTTCAAAGCCATTGTTTCTAATTTTTAGGGACTGTTAAGGCCAACGTGGTGTCAAAATCTTTACCAAGTCATTATAAACCTGTTCATTTAACTTCTATAGTTGGGAAGATACTGGAGAGTTTAATAAAAGACCACATAGATGAGTTCTTGCAGGAAAAAAAATATTTTAAGCAACAGACAGCATGGATTCATGAAAGACAGAAGTTGTCAAACAAATCTGATTTTCTTTTTATGAGGAGGTGAGCAAAACCTTGGACAGAAGGGTGGCGGTGGATGTGGTATACTTGGACAGAGGGGTGGCGGTGGATGTGGTATACTTGGACAGAGGGGTGGCGGGGGACTGGACATGGTATACTTGGATTTTGCAAAAGCGTTTGACACAGTTCCTCACACACGGCTAATGTGTAAGGTAAAGTCTACAGGCTTGGAAAAATTACAATGTAAATGGATAGAAAACTGGCTAAAAGAGAGTATAGGTTAATGATTCGTACTCTGAATGGTCTGGGGTCATCAGTGGTGTACCCCAAGGTTCAGTGTTTGGGACCCTTACTATTTAATATATTTATAAACGATATAGGGTCTGGGATTATAAATATCATTTCAGTCTTTACAAATGACACCAAGCTGTGCAGTGGAATAACATTCTTACATGACGTCTCCAATTTACAAGCCGATCTCAATGCACTGTTTAATTGGGCAACTATGTGGCAAATGAGGTTTAATGTTGATAAATGTAAGGTTATGCACTTGGGGGCTAAGAATATGCATGCATCATACATACTAGGGGGGGTACAACTGGGGGAATCAATGGTGGAGAAGGATCTGGGAGTTCTGGAAAATCACAGTCTTCATAATGGTATGCAATGCCAAGCTGCGGTTTCTAAAACAAGCAAAATCCTCTATTGCATTAAGTTATAGATTTCAGAGAGAGATATCATTTTACCCCTGTACAAATCATTAGTAAGACCTCATCTGGAATATGCAGTTCAATTTTGGGCACCAATTCACAAAAAGAACATTGGGGAACTGGAGAAGGTACAGATAAGGGCAACCAAAGTGATAAGAGGCATGGAGGAGATCAGCTATGAGGAAAGATTACAGGAACTGAATTTATTCTCTCTTGAGAAGAGGAGATTACGGGGGATGATCAACATGTATAAATACATCAGTGGTTCATATAGTGAACTCGGTGTAGAGTTATTCACTCTGAGGTCATCACAGAGGACAAAGGGGCACTCCTTCATCTTGAGGAAAAGAAATTTTAATCTCCAGCTGTGAAAATGTGGAATAGACTCCCTCGAGTTGGTTCTGGCCAGCTCAATGAATTGCTTTAAAAAAGGCCTGGATTGTTTCTTGGATACACAGAATATAACTGGATACTAACAGTTATATGTAAAGTTGAGCCAGGGAATATCCGATTGCTTCTCGGGGGATCAGGAAGGATTTGTTTCCCCCTGCAGGAGCAAATTGGATCATGATTTGCTGTTTTTTTGCCGTCCTCTGGATCAACTGTGGGTTTAGGTTTATAGCTTTTTTTTTTTTTTTATCCAGACTTAAGTAACTGTGTAACTATGTGAAAGGTGCCTGTGACACAACGTAGTGCCTGACCCCTGCCCTTCTCACCATCTTGTGACAAACGACCAGCCAATCTCACACAGCACTGTCATGTAACAATACCACTCTCAGCTGCACCTCGCACAAAGTTTTTCCAGCTCGCGGGACCACAATCTATGTGCCAACATCCTAAGAGTGATTGTCACTGGCTTAGGTTAATTACACAATTAACCCTTCACACTGCCACCAAACTCACAAATCCTAGCAATAACACTATGATATTGTCGTTAGCGTCTGTAACACACACTGTCACCACAGACAGGTATATTCAGAGAAATATATGCAGCGCTAATAAAACTTAGTGAAAACAAACGGAAAATCAGAACATAGGTTGCACACTAGCATAGATGAAAAAACTCAGTCCATATTACATGGTGGGATAAAGTGATAGGTGCAATTGTCCAAGTGATCCATGATCAGAGATAATCGTGACTCTAGTGATCCTATAATTGTACAAATAATGCACTAACCAGATAGCGCATAAAGTGCGCATGGAGCAATTAAGACCCGCTCCTGGTGCTCTG